ATCATGTGGGTTTTGTTATAATATTTTTGTTTATTTATTTTAGTTAATATTTTTAATCTCTTTTGTATGAATAATAATTTAATATCATTTTTTGTTGAGGTTTTTAATGATAATTCAATGAAATTGGAATCAAATCAGGTACCACATACATTGATCATGTGGGTTATGTTGTAATTTTGTTGTTTATTTATTGTTATTAATATTTTTAATCTCTTTTGTATTAATAATTAATAGTATCATTGTTTGTTGAGATTTTTAATGATAATTCAATGAAATTGGAATCAAATCAAGTAGCAATATGTTGATAACAGGGATTTTGTTATAATATATACCATTGTTTGTTTGATCATAGTTACATTTTTTTTTTTATTATTTTGTAATAATAATTAATAATATTATTTTGTTTCTATTTTAATAATAAGTAATAATATTATATTTTGTTTGTAATTAATATAAAGTAAGTAAGATGCTTGATAATAAAAATTATAATAAAATACCTGATACATTAAACATAATGTATTAAATTATAAAATCAAAAGAGAGGACTTTAATTGCACTGATAACAAAATCAATGTTAATGTATTATACAATCTTCAATAATAAAATAATAATAATAATATAATAAAATAAATGATACATAACAATAAGTAAGTTACTTGATAATACAAATTCTAATAAGATACCTGAAAGAACATAATGTATTAATTATAAAATCAAATGTGTGTGAATTTAAATTAAATTTATTACAAATTTCACAAAAAGAAGTCCTTCAAAAAATCCCCTATAATAAAATAATATTAATAATAATATAATAAAATAAATGATACTTAACAATAAGTAAGTTACTTGATAATACAAATTCTAATAAGATACCTGATACATTAAACATAATGTATTAATTATAAAATCAAAGAGACTTAAATTGCATCTATAAACAAAATTCATGAAAAGAAATCTTTCGAACCAATCTTTTATAATAAAATAATAATAATAATAATAATAATAATAAAATGAATGATACATAAAATTAATGAAAAAAAAACTTGTCATAAAAATGTATAATAAGATACTTGATAAAATTAAACATAATTAATCATGAATAAATTGAAAAGGATTTA